AAATTCTTTCATTTATCAGTTTATTTCCTGGAATGTATAAAATTTTATTTAAAGTATGAAAAAATGCAAAAGAGAAATTAAATTTTTTTGAGATCTGATTTTTTTAATGTGAAAAATTGTAATACGTTTTTATTATGTGGCATGCAATGCTGGGCTTTGGGTGCCAAAACCCATGACCATGGATTTTGTGTGACACTATTTTTTCATGGGTGGTTATTGAATTCTGGAGGGTTTGGATGTTTATAGATTCCAAGCGGATACAACCCATGCCCATCAATATTACTTGAGACATGGACACTTCAGTTAGTGATAGCTCGACCCTTAGCCATCTCGTTTACACGCTCTCCACATCCCACGAACACAACACTGAGAGAGTTGGAATACTACAAGCGAAATCATGACGTAAATTCCAAAATTGAGCTACATGAGGATCTGCTCTTGACTGAGGAAGAAACTAACGTTATCTCAACAAAGGCTAAAAGTCTCAGTTGCGGACACCTAGTGTGAACAAGTTTGAGCGATGAGTGGGTAAATTAATTTGAGCTAAAAGCAGGATAGTTCAGGACTTCGCATGCAGATCTAACTAAGGTTCTCACAACCTGTTAAGTTGTTGATGGCATTCTACGACAACTGAAGCATTTTGTTCAGTCCTGGATATTTTGAAACAACATGCCATGAAGTATAAATAGAGGTCATGAACATGGCTTAAACCAGCAACATGGAACAAACTTTTATTCATTAGATCCAACCAAAACTTGATGTAGGTGGGTAATACACGTTACACCATTTTTGAATACATGGGCGTAATTTGAATAGCATGGATGGGCATAGCTCGCTATTCATGGTTATAGTCTGGGTACAAATTTGAAGTAAAATGTTGGCCTCAGGTAAGCATCAAGACCTCATCGACTCAAAAATGCTTAAAATTTAGACATATATTATTATATATACACTTTTTATTTGATTATAACGCATGAAATTATCATATATCTATGAATACCACAAAATATACTTGAAAAGATGTTACAAAATACAAGATCTAAAAGCGAGTTGTTTGTCCTTAGTATGCAAAATGAACTTAATCAAGTAATTTTGGTCAATAATGTATTCTGTCATAATCATAAAACGGAAGAAAATGAAAAATTTTATAAACATTTTCACTTTAAAATATAAATTAGAGCCCTACTTTTATGTTTACTTTTTATTAAAAAAAAACGGTTTTTTCCCTAGACATTGAATTGCTATCTTGGAGGGAATTTTTCCAAGTGATTCCAGCTATTTGCAGCCATGATGTTTGTACTACACGCCTAAATAGCACTATATACGAACTTTGATATAATGTAAAAAAACTCGTTCTTTTTCGTCAACGAATAGAGCGAGAACAAAACCCCGCAAGGAACCTTCTTTACATGAAATGTTTTCCATCTTTTAATCTATTCACCAGTGTAAGTTTTCTTGCTGACTACAGATGCTAGTTTGGATATTGAAGCCTTACTTCATTTTTGTCTGGAAGGTTACAAAGCGCAACCACGACATTCTTATTATATCGCTCCAAATTGTAACCCGAAGAGGGCGGAAGAAAGAGAGTAAAACTATACCATTGACAGCCTTGTACATTGCTTGTGAACGCTTTCAATCATTGCTTACATTCTCCTCGTGCCGCTGGTGTAGAGGACGGATCTACTAGCTTTGAGAGAGAGAGAGAGAGAGAGAAAATGAATGACAAATCGCAACACTTTTCACACCATTGGACAAGGACGACTTCTCGGAAAATCGAAAAGTTCCTGTTGAAGTCCGGGAGACAATTCAAAAACATGTTCTTTTCATGAATGTTTTAATGGAAAGCAATGTGTTCAAAAGTAAGATAGATGGGATTCTATTATTCTCTAAGTCTAGATAGATCTTAGTTTATTTAAGTCCGATTTTCATCGAGGTCTCTCTAAGAAATGGTTCAGCCAGCGAATGAGCCCTTCAAGTTCACTTTCGTTCGTCTGGAAATGCACCGGAAATCCAAAGGTTCAAAAGTTCGTTTTGAGACAACGCACGATTCTTATATTTATATCCAGCTTTAGAAGATACTTGATTACTGAGGTGCACAGTTGTATTTGGGGAAGAAAGTTATGATCTATTGAGGTGAACCTAAACCATCAGAAATTCTTGAATATATGAAAGATAATCTTGATTTCTCCCAAATATATGATCAAGTAGGACGGACAGTTCATATATGACATTTCTTGGGTTTATCGATGACATTCATGCATGTATACTAACTGTAAAGAAATTTTAAGAATAACTCTCAACAGCCTATACTAATTGGATATCAAGATAAGTTTTAATCATTTTAAATCATGTTTATGCAACACAGAGTTATTTGGAAATCACAACATTTTGAAACATATGTCATGTCTTTTCAAGGAGTGTAATCCTATTATAGTAAGTGAAATGTAAATGCATGGAAATTTTAATCATTCACTAGATATGAATTAAATAAGTTAGTATTAATCAAATGTTGTGATTTTTAGATGAATTTATAGATCATTTATCATAATAAATTTTAAAGAATCTATGATCAATTTTACAGTTAGTTTGATTCCAGCTGTGAGGAGTATTAACTTTAAAAGTAAGTGAATAAATTTTTTCAATCAAATTTTACTGTATTTATGATAAGTATTTTCAAATAGATATAAAAAATAAAAAAATATCATTATGCTTAATCGTTAACAAAAATGAAACAAAGGAGAATATTAAATTTAAGATGATGTTTATTGTAAAGATTATTAAACAACTGTAACTCGATATATTACGAGTTTTGTTTACTTTCGTTCAATACTATACACAATTATCAATGTTGATTCTTTCGATCATATCTTGATAAAATTAACTAAATTAAGTCAGCACAAGAAAGAATTAGCATTATTTATCTGGATTTCAAGTTGGTTTTATACTAAAGTCGATAAATATCTGGGGATTCAACTACCAAGAGATTTGCTAAGAACTTTTTTACCAGGTTCCGATTTTACATGATCGGTACAAGAAGTTTGAGACATAACTACAAGACGTAGATGGCGATTATAATGTTTTCTCAACCAGGCGACGATTTTTAGGTTCAGTTTTACAAAAGAAACAACTTCCATCTGTTTTATCTCCTCCAAGCGCGATATGATGGAACAAAATTGCATTGCAAATCGAATCAACATCAGATCCACGCTAATATATGGTTCATGCTCGCTGTGACGAAACTCAATAACTCATTGAGCTGGGCACAATTATCTAAACTATTCCAGAACAGTGACCTAGAGGAAAATCAAGTTTCGCCTGTAGAGAATGAAGTACATAGGCTTAGTTGTTGCTGCATGAGAATAGACCTAGATACCACTTTCGCGATCTAAAGAGCAGATTCGATCCTCAATCTGCAAAACCTAGTCGCAGTGAGTTCTTGTAGGGCACGCTCAACTGTACATTCATGCAGTTCTTTAAGAGAATCTACCGTGCCCAACGCAAGGCTAGCACGTTGCCGGATTTTTTTCGCGATCAGGAGGTGCTAATGTCTGCGTTTGTCTCATGGGTTCAGAAGGTAGAATCGCTGACATGTGTCTTAGCCGAAGTCAGGGAAGTCGAGCAAAACTCGTCGCAGACAGCTTATTTCCGGAGCGCATGGCCGCAAGGATAATAAGCGGTCGTTGGATCTTATATGATTGTGAGTGTAATCTATTTTGGGTGGCCATTTCGCCGAACAATAGAATCGGGCGATGCCAAAAGGGCATTTTCTTCATGACTTGTAAGCACCTCAATCATGACTGAGCTGGCTTGGCTTGGCCTGTCGTCTGGGATGGAGCTCTACGCTCTCTGAGGACCCCTGAATTGAGGTAAGGACTGCACTGCTCGCGGTCAGAGTAACCATGCTACGACAACATGGCCCGGCTTGACATAAGACAGGTTTGACTTTCGGCTCGTCCTAAAGAAAAGGAGCCGGAAGAAAATCGAGTCACAAACATGCCCCATAATCCCACAGTCCCAGTCGGGAGCTGAGGGGCGCGGGATCGATGCGATTAGATCGAAAGCGGAAGGTCGGTCAAAGTCTCATCCCACCACTCCCATGTTATTGTGGCCCTTGCGGGTTTGTCTTGTTTGCTGAACCGCACAAGAGAGTTGGATCGATAGGCTCGGGCCCTACGGGCGCGCTGTAACTGGCCGACGGCAGGAGCTTGGGAAAATGCTGGGAAGTAAAGCTGGGCAAGTGTCTGGCGGGGGAAGGACTCCCAAGGAGTCTCCTCGGTCGCTCGCCCGCAACGAGCGCCCGGCGCCCGCAGGGCTCGAGCATTGTCTTTCCTGCCCTTGAATTGACGGGTCACATTGCAATACAATAAACATAATCTGCTGCTAGAGGACGAGGAAAGCGGTCCCGATTCGGTCAGCCTGGAAAAAAATCTTGTCGGACAATTGTTCGCTGGCCAATAGGACACCAGAATTGGATACGGGTAGTCGCGCAACGTTTCCCCTGTATGTAACACGCGAGACATCAGCTTGGCCTTCCTGCCCGACACAGCTGGCTCTCGTCTGGCAAGCGGAGCAGGCGGCCGTTCCTCCACCCTGCCGTACCTCCTCCTCAAATCCCGTTGCCGGAGTTGTCTCCATTCATGGTTCGACGCACGTTCGTACTAGGTTCGGATCCCCAAAGCTGAAGAACCGATGTGCGAACGCCCTCCCGTGCCCCACCAGCCACCAGCCCTCCCCTCCCATGGGTCCGCTGAGACCCGGGGAAGACCGAGGTCTTCAGCAAAACGGTGATGCCCGATAGCGCTATCACAAGCGAATATGAATGTCGTGGAACCCCGACCCCACTCAGAAGTAAATTACAAGCAAGAATATTCTACATGTAGATTACGGGAATTTGCTTCGGAATGCGATATTGTTGCCAGCAATTTGATTGCCACTAGGATCTGGGTACGCGTGATACTTCATAGCGGGTGCTGGACTGGGGACAATGGCGACGGTTCGGGCTGGCTAAGGATAGAAGATTATGTCGAAATAGAAAGTTGTCGAAGCGGCAAGTGGGACGGAAACTGGACCGCCCCTAGCAGGAGCCCCGGGTTTCGTCTTCGAAGGTATATATAGAGGAGAGGTGAGACGGTCAAGGTAAGGTAATCTCAGATTGCAGCAGTGTTGAGCAGATGTGCTCGACGACGAGAGCTAACCATCCCCCAGACCGTCACTGAGACTGCATGTGTGCTTCTCTGTGACGATGTTCTGAATTCCACAATTCGTAACACAGTTCCTCCAGCTCCGTGGCGCCGGACTCTTTCGCTAACAATTTGAGAGGCAGAGGAGATTTTCGTTACATCCACCAGCTTCTTCACATTGCGAGAGAGTGCGCCATATTCAAGAGAAGTCGAATTTCTCCACGTTCTGGCCGAGGGCGGGCACGGAGTAGATCGGAACTTAGCTCTTTCTGAGTGTAGTAAGGTTCCTGCTGAGGAGAGTGGACTCCTCAACTCCTGAATTCTCACCGCGTCGGGAGTTACAGCATGGCAGGAGTCGGTATTTGGTTCTTGGGATTCGTCGCAGTCATTTATGTGTACTATCGGGTGCAAAAGCATCTGGCGCGGTCCCGAAGATTGCCTCCTGGAACCATGGGGTGGCCAATCATCGGCGAGACCATGAAGTTTTACACTCAGCATCCAAATTTGTTCTTCAGCTCGAAGCAGAAAAGGTGCAGCTCCCTACTATTCTACTGCGCCGCACTCTCAAGACTCTACCTCTCATTGCACCCACCGCACCGCCTTGCACTGCACTTCACTTCACTTCACTTCGACAACAATGACCCAGCTAGTTTTTCGTCATTCTCCTCGGCCTCAGTGAGCTAATTGAGAGTGTCTTTTATCCCTGACAATTATCTCTCTTCACAACGAAGACAGATCACGAACCGCTCGAGATATCGTATCTCAGCAATTCTTCGTTTGTTGTCCGATCAAACTTGTCGGCAGAACCAAGAATATACTTGAGAGTTCTTCAAGTTTGATCCTGTTGACAATCTACCGTTACCTCAACTGATGAAACGAATTTGTCTGCAAATTTCAAGTCCCGTTGTCCTGAAGTGTTTCGAGTGTATGGAAAAGGAATTCACAGAGTTCGCGCAGTTCTGGAAGCTAATCTCACTAACAACTGCAAGTGACTGGTAGACAAAGAGGAGTGTTCGAGTGGAAAGATAAAATCTGATGTGTGAATGTCTTGAACAGATACGGGGAGATTGTGAAAACAAGGATTCTGGGATATCCTGCGGTGATGATGGCGACTCCCGAGGCCGCGAAACTGGTCCTGGTTACTCAGGCTCACCTCTTCAAGCCTTCTTACCCTGTTAGTAAGGAAAAGCTGATTGGGAGATCAGCCGTCTTCTTCCAGCATGGTGCTCACCATCAGCGCATACGCCACCTTTTGCAAGCTTGTTTCACACCCGACGTCATACGTGAAAGTGTCGGGGAGATTGAGAGCCTCGCGCTGAGGACCATGAATTCTTGGGAAGGGCGTTCTATCTGTACTTTTGCCGAGCTGAAAAAGGTTCGTGTTGTCTGTCATACTGGGGTCAAGGCCAGAAAGAGAGGATCACGATCCAGGATGTTTCGATGCATGATCAATGTGGGGATTTACCTACTTGAGTATCATACTTTTGTAACTATGGTATATTCTGGTAGTATGTCACATCTTGGTATCGAAATCTACTCGTATGCCCATGCGTCATGTTTGAGACATTCGGATTTCGACAATAGGTGTTTACAGCGTATAACGCAATATTTTATTCTTGGATTTGAAGCCGTGTTTCTGACATGAGAGGTTACCGCAGGATCGTTACTGCATGCATTTACTGTACATTACAATTGACAGCATCGAACGTATTCAATGTGTATGAGGAACTGTCTCATGAGCACGACGGTAATGGCTGACGTATCTTGTTTTTGTATGAATTGCCGTGCAGTTTTCATTCGAAGTCGGATTCATGCTGTCTTGTGGTAACGACGATCACGTAGACAAGGATGAATTGCTGCAAACGTATCGCACCATGGAAATGGGTTATAATTCGATGGCCATCAACATTCCTGGATTCAAGTTTAACAAGTCGATGACGGTAGGGACCAAAATCCATCTGTTGCGATCCTTCTATACGCTGAATGAAATTTTGTTGAGTTCATTTACAGCGCCAGGAATGTACTCACCGACTTTGTGGACTGTACAGGCGAGGAAAAGATTACATACAATCATAGCTGGCATGGTCGAGAGAAGAAGGGATAGCGGTGTCATGAAGTCAGACGTTCTGGGAACGCTCATGAAAGATCCAGCGTTGACTCTAGATCAAATAGCAGACAATGTTATTGGTGTGGTCTTCGCGGCCCAGGACACTACTGCTAGTGTTATGACGTGGCTTGTGAAATACCTTTCTGGCAGCCCGTCAATACTCGCAGACGTCAAGGTAAATATCTATTTGAAGATTGAGGTTCAGATTTGAATCGTTTGCCTCAGCCGTGGATTGCCAACTCCGCTCTTTTAACGTCTACAACGTCACATTCATACTGACATTCTGTGATTCGACCCATTACAGGCCGAGCACGATGAAATCCGGGCGAGTAAATCTTCTGATGATGAGGGTTTGACTTATGCCGACTGCAAGAACATGCCCCTCACCCACAGAGTAAGTGCAGGCGTAGAGGAGTAGCTAATCTGAAAGTTACAGTCTTTACAGTTACTTCTTAGAATTAGGTTGTCAGTTCAACATATAAAGTCTTTACTTTGCAGCTTTTGTATGTAACTAACCTACATATTTGTTTTCCACAGGTAATATTGGAAACTTTAAGAAATGCAACTGTGCTGTCATTTACATTCCGGGAGGCAACTGAGGACGTCGAATACAATGGTGATTATCCGACTTGTGTGCTGTCATGCAATAAATACGGACCAAGCTTGTACTCTGAAATACTATCATGCAGACATTGTGAAGGAACGGACCAAGATTGTGATAAGTTGTTGTATACATTTAAGTGCACAGAAAACTCTTGAGAGAAAGAAGAATGCGTAGATCGTGGTTTATATAAAAAAAAATCGGATATAAAGCTTTCTCATCTCAACTTGTCTCATCATAGGTTATCTGACACATTTTTATGTCGATTACAGGTTATTTGATTTGCAAAGGGTGGAAGGTGTTACCACTTTTTCGCAACATACATCACAACCCAGACATCTTCCCTGACCCATACAAATTCGATCCATCTAGATTTGAGGTACAGTTCTTTGAAATCTTATCGTATTGGATTTTGCAGTTATTTTTTAATTATCAACTGCGGTATCTCTATCACTTGAACGCATTCTTACGGAGGATTTTATACATTTGCAGAAAGCACCCAAGCCCAACACGTTCTTACCCTTCGGCAACGGAGTTCACTCCTGCCTTGGCAGTGAGCTGGCTAAACTGGAGATGTTCATCTTCGTCCACCATCTTGTCACGAAGTTCAGGTATTGCCACACATCAAGATACATATGCAGACAGATTACGTTTGTTCTTTGAGCAATCTCTTGTAAGCAGCTACTGCTGACTCGAAACTTAGAACCGGTTTTCGCCTTTATAGACTGTGAAGGTTGGCTCACGTGAATTTGTTGCATTTACAGGTGGGACCTTCTAGAACCCAAAGCAGGAATTGATTATCGGCCATTTCCAGTTCCAAAGGAAGGAATGCCCATGCGGGTGTCTCAGAGGAGAACTAAAGCTGAGTGAATCTGTTTGAATATCTCTTCAAACACCGTCATTACTCATCATGTCGGAGATCTTTATGTGCGAAGCCGAGATTTTGCCAAGCTACATTGCAAGTGCGAGCCATCGACAACAGTTTATCCTCGCCCTTCGTAAGCTGCAAATACTGTACAATCGACTCCGACCACCCTCTACCTTTTGGAGAACTATCCAACACCTACTTCACAGATCGTCCGGGAACAAATTTGGTGTTTTCAAGCTTATACATATACAAAAATCTCATTACCTCGACAGGTTACCGAACGCAGCTGCGACAGCTCGCGTTAGAGATATACACTAAATACAGTAGGCATGCATAAATTGCCTTCTTTCTGTGAGGGTTCGAAGAATCAGCTTACAACAGTGTTGTCACGCTGAGTTGGAAACACCAACGTTTGAGTGAGCTCTGGCTGGGCACATTGCTTCAAAGCCATAGTACACAGTCAGACACTCTTCGAGAATTCAGTAGATCTAAGGATCTTGTACCGATAAGTCGGATCTTACCCCCTATAGAAGCCGAAGGCGGGGAGGTAAAACGACTTCGGTGTTCTCCGCCAGTTGAGAATAGTAAAGTGATATTAGACAGGCGAAATTGCCAATTTTATCATCGCGATTACTTATAAACCAGTGATATGACACATTTTTCGAATTGTATTTTACTCAAAAAAGTGTGTTACGTTGTTGAAGTCCACTTGCCTTCACGCAGTGGATGATGGTTGTGTGGCAACCTGATATTCTCACAAAGGAACGATAGCAAGAATCTTCAATTAGCTGCCTTTATCAGCTTCTTAGACATTAGCGGGTATTAAAATCGCAAAACTGTTAGAGAATATTAAGATACCTATTACCCGCAACCATAACTGATGTCTAAAAAGCTGATAAAGGCAGCTAATTGAAGAATTTTGCTATCATTCCTCACATACTATCAGCAGATCATGAACATCTCTACCTTGAGGAGTGAGCGTCACCTTGAAAACTCCTGCTAAACGCGATGATAATGTGAAGGGCACCCTTCTACTCGGTGTAACCACGTGTCAATCCTTTCCAGCTTTAGAACAGTATGAGGGGTGCCGAAAGGAAGTATGGCTATATGAATCAGCTGTCTGGAGCCGTGCAACCGCTTGTACGAGTTTGAGAATCGAGTCTTTCGGGAAAGATCTTTCGTATGTCAGTTTCCAGCTGTCGGCTACCACAAAGTAGAAACACGGTACGTTCCAAATCATCGGAAATTTGGAACGTACCTCAATTCAGATAACACATAGACCAATGACGGCTTGCTACTTTCTTCCTGATATGATTTTTGAATGTTAGGAATTAAAACCAACCTCGCCGTGCTTGCACTGCGTGGAACGTACAGCTGAGACGTTGATGACATCACTGATCCATCTTGAATTTGTCAGCCGCTCACCACCTTGACAAGAGTCGCAGTGTAAATCCTAATATGCAACCAGCTTTCATCAATTCTTATCGCCTTTCCAGAGTGGACCGTGCGCATGTTCCTGCTTAGTCAAACTTCATTCGTTTAGCTGTAAGTAGATACGCCCTACGTTGTTTATACTTTTCGTTACACTTCATCATCATTTTGACACGGAAACCCCAGGCAATTTTCAGTGTATGTCATTGCCACTTTATGCTATCGCAAGTATATTCATAGCAGTTCCGTGCAGTGCCTGCCCCCATGTCGAGGCGTCAGAGGCGCATCCTTCTTTGACATTCACACCTCAGGGCTAGCTTTGTGTTCAGTGAGGGGAGACTCGCGGCTCTGCCGCCTTCGCTTTATCCTTTCCCCGTTCTCAAAATCTTTAAAGCCATTCTCATTGGCAAGGATTTTGGTGTCAAAAGATCATTCCCATCCTCCGCCATCTGCATTCCGGCCAGTCAAAAGATCTCGCCTTCGGCTGTTGATGAGTCTGTGAACTACTCCCGCCACATTGTAATTGGCACCGGTTCGAGTGGGGCAAAAATCTTCCTCAGCCATCCAGTCACCACGAACTTGCTGTCGATCAACTCTCCACCGCGACTGTAGGAACCGACATTTTCATTGCAGCCACTAAAAAGATCTCACTACTTCTGCACTGGTCCGTCGAGTGTGCACACTCGCGCTGCGGAAAATCTCACTTCTTTTGCCAACCCCGTGGACCAGTGATCGAGAAGCCCGTTCAGACGTGCACGTCAAGAGTAGCCAGGGCCTGCGGTGTGCGGGCTGCGAGGCGATGCTGCTTAACCACGTACATAATAGTACCGTCTTCTAGCATGTTCTGCGGCAGAACTGTACCCGGTCGTCCTGGTGGCTGCAGCAAAGAAAGGGAAAGGAACGGGACCTACTACACTTCAAGTTCCCAACCGATCCCACTTCGCATGGATTTTGTTGCGAGCTTGCAACAGTGTGGCATCTGCTGCGGGAAAGGTTCATGTCACAGATCCAGCCGGACCCACAGGGGGGAGAGAATCTCCAACAGGATCATCAGAAGCTTGGGGCTTCGATTCCCAACAACAACGCACACGCGCACAAGCCACAAGCCGTGGCGGTAAGCTTTTCTTCCTTCTCGAAAGCCAAATATCCAAATGCTTGTGTTCCACATTCACGTACCGAACATACAGTTCTCTTTATCGCTCGCCGGAAACGACATTCCTTCACATGTTTCATGTATGCTATGAGCCACTTGCGGTATTTGCCGACCTTGCCCCAAATGTCTCATTCGACCTTCTTCATTCAGACGAGTTCTGGTTGGCCCTTTTCTCTTGCTGCCCTTCGGCGAGGGGCGGTCGGTTTCGTCGTCGGCTTTAATTCGGCGGTTTGCCTTCTTGTACGGTGCGATCGGCTCTGGTATTGTCTGTCCGCGGTTTTCAGCCTCGTCGGCAGGCTCTGCTGAACCATGTTATCCGCCCCGGAACCACAGTCGTAGTCAATGTGATGATGTGGCCTCTTGCTCGGTAGCCCCTCTCGGAATAGAGGTACCGCCTTTTTCTGTACTGTGTTGACCTCCCTCCCAGCTCTATTTCAGGGAGCCCGATAGCCTTTCATGGAGTCTCCCGCGGTACCCAGGTTGTTTGTTACCTTGTGGGACGGAGTACCTACAGTGGCCCTACTTTCCTTGATAACCCCCAACCACCATTCCAGAGCGTTGGGCTGAGATCTCAACTGTAAAATTATGGGGTAGAGAAAGCATCAAAAGTAAGAAATATATACTAACGGTGATGGGCAGACCCATCGAGCCGCACATGGATGAAAAGTTATAGCTTTACACATGACCACATGTCTAAATTGGAGCATTCGTACGTGGGAGCCTTATATACGCCACGTACATGGCAGTGACATGGCACCGACATGGACGTGAACGGCGGCAAATCTTAGCTCCCAACTCACAGTCGTCTGACGCCTTGTACTGTTTTTATTGATGGAATACATTTCCGCCCATCGAAAAGATAGAAACCTCATAATGAGTTCTAGATGGTGAATTGGGATTTAGTTGCGATCGGTGTGGGATTCCGAAGATTAAAGCGAGCGGTGGTGACAAGAAGCACCAAAACCAATCACACGGCTCCTAAATACTTTTTTTACAACTGAACTATAGATTTATTGACGGGTGGCACTTCGTGTAGAATTGCCAGTTCTACTTTTAACGTTTTCGCCATGTCATCCGCTCGAGCTTCTCGCTTTGTTGAACTGCGAAATTATTAGCTCAAAGTAAGAAACATAAAGCAACAAATATGGAAATCTATTATACGTCATATTCATAAAACAAGAGGAATAACATGTGATTACCCTATTTAAAATAATAATATTACAAGAATTACATGATTTTAAACATTACAATAAATAAATGAATATTAAATTAATTTTATTGAATTTTGTTTCATGCATGTTAAGTATACACTAATGTTTAAGTAATTTTTAGTGTTTAATGTGTCTAATAATAATAAGAAATCAATTGTAAGATAAGACATCAATTGTAACATAATATGAGAGCCTCTAATGACATGTTGCAGCCGACGTCTGTAGAACGATATAAATTTATAATTACACACACCAAAAAAGAAAGGTACTCCATTCTTGTAGACTTTCAAATTTATTCATTCACGCATGTTCATGAATTTTAGAGAATATGAATCATCCATTTTTTATTGTCTCATAGAAAATACTTCTTGCAAATGGTAAATCTTTTACACAAACTATACTAGGATGTACATCAACGTAAAGAAATATAGCAGAAAAAAATCCTGAATCCTGATCTTTGATATAAAGAATTTTTCTCCCAATTTCACACATAATTTTTCCATAAAATTCATTATTAATTGAATTCAACCACTCTGATTAAAAAGTCTAAAAACCAGCTCAAAACTCGATTGAATAAGTTCGTTCTAGGCTCATATTTCTCTATATGTATTTCATTTTTCCTTTGCGTTTTATTATACTATGGGACTGTAATAAGATTTTAAATGATTTTTCTTCATTTTTGTTAACACTCGGACTAGTCATTCAATGTAATTGAAATTATTGCCACTAAATCAACAAATCTTATTCTAATTCATGGCATCATGTTCTCATAAAAGTTCATGCGATATATAACAAAAGCATTTGAAATGTTAAGTTTATTCTTTTTGCAATACAACCACATCATAGCAAAGTTCAAACGATAGTTGTGTAGTGTAAGTAATTTACATTTCAGTGAATTTTTGAACAAAATCGTGCAGAAATATCATCTGTTATGAAGTTTTATATAAGAGTTTCATAAAATGTTATCTTAATTAGTAATATTTATGTTCAATTTAAAATATATAAAATATACAAAACTATTCTCTATATATTCATTGTTTCTTTGATAGATAATTGAGGTTTAATTTTTTTTGTAGTTAATACACTAAACTGTTTCTACGATGGAGTGAGGTAGATAAGGTAAACATAATTCAGAAGACAAAATCATTTATCTCACATTTTTCATTTGAAAAATATGCTTAGATCACTTATTATTCTTTTTTGGCATCAAACACTTACTTAATATAACAAAGATCAAATCCTTATCAGGCACAAGTTTATTCATGCATTTTCCGGTGTTAAAATTTGTATCATATCAAGTTAATATTTTTCAACCAAATGTTTTTTTGATTATAAATATGATTAATGATATAATCATTTGAAGTTATAAATTCATATGAAGATCATGTGTGATGCTATATCATCACACATGATTAAATTATCAACCTACAACTTTATTTCCTTTAGATAAATCTCATAAATTACGTTATTAAGCTTAGAAGTTGTAAAATATTTAAAATTTGCACAATTGTATCAAACAATATCTTTATTATCTCTGGAGTTCTAGACTTAGTTAAAAATTTACAAAAAATAATTTAGAATGTAAAATATATATAAATATCCAATATCAAATATTGGATTCTTTATTTTCTGAATGAATGTAAAAACAAAATTTATTTTCAAATAGCTATTTGAACTAGAATTTTTCTTTTTTGAAATCATTATTACGAGTAAAAAATATTAAAACCATTGCATGAATGAATCATATGAAAAATTATCAATTGAAGGAAAACAGTTTATATATAAACATATTTTGTATTGAAAGAATGAAAAAAATATATAGCAATTCTATTTCAAAAATATTTGAAAATTCTAGTCA